TTTGTGACTCTTGTTCAGTGATTCAGTCACTTCGGACTCTTGTGAACCGAGGGCATTATTTTGCCAGGATTAACTATCAGTGACTGCTCCCTTGGGCTTGTGTCAGCACTCCTATTAGGTGGCCACCTTGCCTTCTGCCAGCCTCTTTTTCAAGCATCCGGACCTTCTCCAGCAACTCTAGTCTTTACATTACATGTCCAAAATATTGAAGCTTTAACTTCCTGATAGTGCTTCAATCTGGTTTCAGTCCATGTGGTATTGAATGAGTAGATGTTTCCAGGATCAATACTTCGACATCCAAAGTATTCTCAAGCATTTTCATCAGCACCAAAAGCCTCCCTTTTTCTTTGTTTAGCCCTTCTGATGTTACACCTGGAAAAACCATGACCTTGACCATGTGTATCTTTGTTGTCAGTGTAATGGGTCTGCACATGCACAGTTTTTCTCCCAAGTAGCCAACATCTCTTTATTTCATGGCTGCAATCCCCATCCCTGTGAATTTTGGAATATTTAATTGCTCCTTATTCCATACTACCGCTTGCTTCCTGATGACCATATACATTCTTCAATAGGCAGATGAGATACCTCCATGTCTTTTAGGGTTATCCACAATAATATCCACAATCCACAATTTTGTTGTGGTCTACACAACAAAAACATTTGTATAACCAATAAAGCAAAAACATACATCTTTCTGGAGTTCATTTGCCTTTTCCATTATCCTTCGGATGTTAGCAAGGTTCTCTGGTGCTCCTCTGAATCCAGTATACACATTTGGTAATGCTCATTCCATATATTGTTGGCGTCTCTACTCCAAAATCTTGAGTGTTATCTCCCATGAGATGTGATTGTTCGGCAGTTTGAGCATTTTTTAGCATTGCCTCTTTTTGGTAGTGCAATATAAATGGATCTTTTCCAGTCTTTAATCCACTGTTGTGTTTTCTATACCTGCTTACAAACTGTAAATAGCACTTTATCACCATCATCTGTTATTCCACAAACTCTTACAGCTTTACTATTTGCAATATTTTCTATGTTCCCTTTAACTGCATTTCCCAGTAATTTTGGCTCTAGTTCAGTGATCAAACCTACCTACATATCTTTGCTTGGGATCTTTTTTGTGCTGCTCGTATTGGTGATAACTGGTTCTCATGAGGCATTTCATTTATTTTTATACTCTATTTTACAGATATGGGCTACTGGTGGGAGAATGCCATAGCTGCCTTTTTTGCTCAATACTCTCCAGCCAGCTGGCTTATCAGAACTGTGCGTAACTTTTTTTAATATAAGTATGTTGCAAAATAAGCCTTATTCCTTGGTAGGTATAGTAGCCATAGAAAAATAGCATCCTATATCTAATTGCTGATTTTTTAAATTAGAATTATTTATTTGTTCGTTTGTTGTTGGATTTCTCCCCCGCCCATCTCCCCCACAATAGGGGATTCTGGGCGACTTACA